CCCCCCTTGAATAATATTCTTTCCGACCCTGTACATCCATAAGAGTTGTTCTCAGATGCCATGTTCGAGTGATTATGGTTTGAAGACTTCAAAAAATTGTTTTAAAAAGGAAATTCGAAAGGATAAATCGAAAATGTGAAGCAATAATTATTGTGATATAGTAAAAAACAAAAGTAAAATATAGAGAAGAAATAAAATAAATAAATTGCACTGGAAACAAGGCAGACTTTGACTACTGGTAGTAGTTGTTGTTGTTACAGCAGGAGATGAAGTAGAATTAATAATGAAGCAATTATTTCCTGCAATACATGTAGCATTCAAACCGATGTATTCACCAAATAGTTTGACTTGTGTAGCTGATAGGACATCGCAGTTAGAATAAACATTAATAAAAGAAGCAGTGGTTATATTTATATCAAGGACAAGAGTTTGATCCATTGTAGGTGAATATGAAGGCCATGTTAAACTTATATTATTGTTCGGTTGATGTTTTGTAATCATATTTGTCCAATATCTGCGAGTAGATGTAACCAAATTCAATTCATTGGATAAAAACATTTGATCACCATAAAGTAAAGGTGATGCTGTTTGAAATAAATTCAATAATTCCGCCGAATGATATGCTCCTGGCCACATAATTAAGCTTGGTAATGATAACCAAAAGGATTCTGGTGCATGATTATATGTATAAAGATATGTAGGTTGATTAGCCATATATCCAGCCATACGACGAGCACCACAAATAAAAGCTCCTTGAGACATCAATGCAACGAAGGCTTTCGAATAGTTACCATTGAACAAATTCGGATTGTATAGAGCTTCAATTTCAGATTGATTGTAAGTCATTATCGGTAGAATACGGGTTAAATAATCTTCTGTACTGTTTGGTGGATAAACATACTCTTCATATAGAACACGTAAAACAAATTCATCATGAGCTGCTCCCAAAAGTAGAGGTACACGATTAAAAGTACCTGTTAAGAAGAGTTGTAAAGGATGAGTAGGTATTTCTATTCCATCTACAATAAAATTAAAGGGATATACTTGAATAACTTTGAGTTGATCTTTGAAAATTAATGATGTCGATGATGGAATTGATACATTACGCATGGTTGTTATGAGTTGAGTACTATTGACATTTCGTAAACAAGCCAATTGTTGAGTCGAATTTGTCATGTTACATCCAACACGTGATGCGAGATCATTTGTTATTGAATAAGCAAATTGTTTGTCATACATATAAAATGGAATGTCACAAGATCCACTTTCCATTATTCCAGTATGGAATAATCCAGCAGATAATGGTGACACAATATGAATGCAAACTGAATAAGACCCCCCGGATTGACCAGCTAGAGTGATCGAATTCTTATCACCTCCAAATTGTCCTATATTATCTTGAATCCATTTCATTGCCATACGTTGATCTGTAATACCTTGATTTGCAATAGTTTGCCCATTTGTATCTGTCAAAGCTGATTGAACGAAGAATCCCATAACATTGAGACGATAATTAATACTGACTATAATAAATGAATTATTCTCTTGAATAGCTGCATTTGTCCAACTAAGTCCATCATAGATAATCTGTGCCGAACTGCCTTCTTGAAGTCCTCCTCCATGAATCCACAACATCACTGGATATCCTCTTGATGAGTTTGGAGGTGGAGTACGAGGCGCCCAAACGTTCAAATACAAGCAATCTTCATCAAATGGACCTGAAGTAATACCTACGCGCTCGATTTGAGGACACGATGGACTATAATGCGTAGCATTTTGTACTGTACCATTATTGATATCAGTTATAACATAAGGTTGAGCTTTTTGCCAACGAAGTATTCCAATAGGTGGAGCAGCATAAGGAATTCCAATCCAGACATTTGTCTGACGAATAGTAAATCCTGCAAATTGACCCGATGTTGTGGAAATAATCGGCGAGTCTATAGATTCGTTAGCAAACACATAAAGATCACCTTTTAAACCGGAGACTGTTGCGAAAAATAACATACAGGATAGGCACACAAGAAACATATTCACATAAACGATCATAGATGAAGTAAGAAAAACAAGTGAATATCAATTGAATTTGCTTTCTTTAGACAGATAAGAGTTTGATAAGACGAATGTTGATATTAGAAACAGCTATCGTAATCAATGTACAAGTATTGAATCACATGAAAAATGATAACGACAACGCAATATACACCTAAGAAGGTAATTATAGAAAGAAAGAAAAAAATATGGACGCCTTTTTTGCATCGCCATTCACATGAATCACTAGAGGTTTATGTACTAGCAGTGCAAAATATTATGAAAGAGTTCAAGGACAAAAATCGATTACTTATACATAAAGAAGATTTGGAGCTTATACAAAAGTAATTGGATTTAGCTATCTGTATGATCTTACAATATTCAGATCGTTGCATGAGTCTTGACTAAATGCTTGTTGAATCAAATAAAATCTTACCAGTTATATGCTGGTTGTCTCTCTCTTGTAAACATTGGCATTATGAGAGAGGTTGGGAAAACCTATCAAAACTTGTCGACGATTTTTTTTTTAAATAAACACAAATTAAATCATTCTAACTTGATTAAAACTATTTTGGATAAAAGAAATACACTTCTATAGATAATTAGAGAATATCAATATAAAAAAAACCAACATGTATAAGAAGGAAAGAATGGATTATTCTTTCGTTCTTATACGTGTTGTTTTTTTTTTATATTGATATTGTCTTTTTTTTGTAGAAGTATATTTCTTTTTGACTGATAAGATGAATGGAGTTCATGAAATGTTTCAAACATGATTAAAATGGTATTTATAATTCTTTTATTCATTATCAAATCTATTCATCGATTAAAATTAAAATAAAATGATTCACTATTTTCGGATAAGATAATTCTTCGACAAAGTAGTTTTAATGAAGAAAACTTAATTTTCTTTATAGTACACTTTTCGAAGAAATTGATTCAAGTGATCAATAAATAGCTCCAAGTATTATTGGTATGATGATACTTACGAACAAATTTTAGAAGTTAAAGTAGTGTTGTCATCACAATGCACGTCAAAAATATCGAATTTCATTTAAATTCAATTTTTTTTACATTATAACAGATGAACAACGGGATGTTAGGGAAATATCATGGTGAATCTATCGCGTAGTCTTAGCTAGATACTATCAGAAAAAACTAGTAGTCAGTTCCAGTCCTTTGGCAAAGAGGATGAACACAACTTTGTCTTTATTATCCTAAACCTTTATTAAAGAACTAGTTTTTTAAAAACAAATATTATTATTCCACGAGATATCGAAACAAAATATCCTAGTGAGAGAATGGAACACAAGAAATTTTCGCTTAAGAAAACAAAAAAACATAAAGCATCTATCGTTTTCTTGATTGAATTATGCTTGAACGAAAAATTTATTTTCAAATTCGACTAAAATCCTGCATGAACTTCTGAAATAGTTAATTATTCTTTGAAGAGCTTTTACAAGATACGATCGACGATGAGTGTGAATACAAACGATTTTATGACTTTATTGAAAAATCTTTTGACAATGTCTGTTAAGAAATGATACGTACATAGAATATAATGAGTAAAAAATAAGAATATGAATTCAATAAGTCTTGTTATCTCGATTCGAAATAGAAATACGATAGACAAATACAACGAGAAACATTGTAATTCATCAGATATTTGAAAATAAGTTAAAATAGTTCTCGATGATATTTGTCTTCAATCAACTAGAAATTCTAAAGAAGTTTTTTTTCAATCGATAAAGTAAAGAATGAAATTGAATAATTTATGTGATAATTCGATTTGATTGGTCTATTCTTGTCTGAAAGGTGTGAGTGTGGGTATGGTTGAAATGAAGATCTACATCCACCCCACACCCATATCCTCTCTCTGTCATATCTATGTAGTTTTAATTCCAAACATACTTGATGATGACTGTCTGAGCAACAGTCGAAACGCGCCGTATGATGCTTAGAATTATGCTTATGTGACACATAGACACTCAAAATTCCAGGGCAAAATTTTGTAGTTTGGCTTTTTCCGTAAATACGCAGAGATTGGTCGAGAATTCAGTAAAACGATTATAACCTCAAGGTTTTTACTTCATGTGAATTTGGGAACTAATTTATGTCTTTGGGAGTTATTCTTCCAGTCGATAGACTCGATCGATTATAAAAGATTGGTGTAAGAATACTGGAAGGCAAAGTGAAAGACATGTATTTTTTTTTCTATGCATGATGAAGAGAAAAAGGAACTGCTATTTGCAGAACATGAGACATAGAAACTTATTTAACGTTTGAATAAATGAAGCCACTTCGGAACTTATTCCTTTTAATCATCATTTGATGTATATATAAATACGTAGTTTTATAACCACGGTCGACTCACTTCTATATTCTATCAAAATCAACGAACGAAGCACCGCACCGTTAGAAAAAACTTTCATACTCTATTTTGAAACATCGATCATGTTAGCTTCAATATAAGTGTCAACCATCTTTCTACTGATCGTAGGTAAGTTTTTTTGTTTACACTGTTTTAGTATTGGCACACATCGATGCTAAATCCTCTACTACATTTTAGGTACCATACCCATTAATACTAAGGTTAAATTTCCAAGTATACCAGTTGTTGGCGATCCATCAACACAGTGTCTAGTGGAATCAGACGATGTTTTAGAAATAATTGTAGGTTCGTCTGAAGGTGGATGTGCTATTCCATTCGAAAAACTGGAATTACCAATCACAAAATCATTGTCAAATCAAGTATTGGAATTTGATATGGAATTTTTGGTGACACCAAATGCTGATGAAGGGCGGTGTGATGGCATTTACTATGGTAATAATCACTTAGTCAGAAATACAAGTGGAAATACTGTGATGTATTGGATTGATCGCACTGAAGATCGTGGTTATAGGTTTTATGAAAGCGGGCCGACACCTTTGCATGACTCAATTGGTTTGTTGCCGCGAACAAAAGAACCAGCGAGCCGTTTAAAGATCATTATCAAATCAAATGGTGAACAAATCTTAGTTGCGGATAATGATATCTGGAAAAATCTTAGTGGTAATGCAATTCAGTTCGTTAATAAACCTTTTTTAGGTTTTTGGGGATGGATGAATAATCATTTACGTATTTCAAATTTTATTATTCGATCTCATACAGGTGAGAAAGAGAAAAAGAGTGTGTTTCGAAAGTAAAAAAAGAAAAGACTGCCAATTCTAAAGTATTTTTCCTTCTATTTCTTTGTAGGATATGACCTTGATTAATTATTGCGAAGATGGAAATAAAAATATTCAGAGACAAATACTCAGTAAAACCTGCTCTGATGAGATTATAAAAATCTACAATTTCAGCTTTTGCTTTTTTTGTCAAATTTGCCTGCTATTGTTGTTATTTATCAATCTAAGTTCGTTTTTGTATTTTTGAAATAAATAAACATATAAATGTTCAATTTTGCACATATCTATAAGTAAAAAAAATCGAAATATACCAAGTTCGTTCGCTCATATTTATTCAAAATAAAAATCTGACTATATACAAAAGTTTCGATCCGATCTATTGGCGTTTTGTACCGATGAAAATCAACGAAGCAATATTATCTAAAGGTGGAAAACAATGAGACCAAAACATGTGGAAGATATTTCAGATTATGAACATAAACTCGATTAGATTGAAATCGAGATTTTGAAGTAAAACATACTCATATCGAAAACGGCGGTAAGTATGTTGTTGGTCAACAGAACATTTTGTCGAAGAGCATTTCGGCGACACAGCAGTCTATTAATAGTATTATATAAAAAAAATTGATTATAATATATAATAAATAGAAGAGAGTAAGAACACAAAAGATACGTTTGAAGTTTTGTCCCGACGGTGAGAAAATGAGAAGAATTAGATAGTTATCTATCGACGAATGCTGTTTTTACAAAAACATTTCGACAAAATTACTTCGATGAAAAGTCTGTCAACTAAAGTGTCTTTCGACCAATAACATAGCATTCGAAAACGTCAATCACATCATGTCTATCGTCGTTTCAAGCTTTTTCACGAAGCTTAAAATGAGCCCATCATTTCTATATTCGGGGGTGTTTTTGAAAGATCATCTTGTTGCACATTTTTACGAAAATGTTCAACTTGCTTCAGACCTTGTGCGAAAGCATGTTTCAATACTTGATTATTATCCTCGAATAAGATTTCAGGAAAATCTTTACCTCCTTTCACCGGTATTTCATTTGTTGTCTTGCAGGTGATCAGTACAAAAAAACAGTTATGTCAATCTCAAATCAAATCGGCTAGATGAATTCGGTGCGATGGCATTGACTCTATGGCTTCGGTTGATGCTGAATGTGAGAGAGGTCGATCTGAAGTCGATGAGCAAGAGTGTTGAAATGAAATTGGCCAAACAATCGAGCGAACAGTCTGAGATTGATTCTTGATCGGATTCAGAAAGGCAATATTAATAGGGTGTGGGTGTGGAAAGGTGTGGGTGTGAGTGCGGTTCTGTCACATCTACATCCACACCCACACCCACACCCATATCATTTATGTGGGCAAGGTTTTCTTAATAATGACTGAATAGAGAAGCGATAATTTTTGTGAAACACGATCTAAAAGAGAGTGTTGAAGTGTATAGGGGTAGAAATTTGGACCCCTCCCCCCACAGACCGTGACGGACATCTTAATTAATTAATTAGTTAATTCGTGTCTAATTAATTAAATATCCATCACAGACTGTGACACTGGCATATTATCAAAGATCGTCACAGATCGTGACCTACATCATAACTAATTAATTAATTACCCATTACAGACCGTGACAGACAGGCTCTCGGAATCACAACGGGGTGAGAAACGCAGTCTGGAAACCATCACATACTATGACAGACAGCTTCAGAGTACTATGAGAGGTCATATACATATAACTCAGATCTAGTTAAAATATCTATGGAGTATCTCTTTGTTGAAGTTCTATGCTCTAAAGTAAGGAATAATGCAGAAGCATACCCAGGTAGACACAAAAGATAAGTTTTTAGGGAATTAGCAACAATGGGTATATTGTGTTTCACATTTTAATCTTGCACGGATTGCGCTAACAGCTTTTCTCATGAGACTGCGATTCTCTATTAAAATCTTTAATTTCATTGAGTTAAAAATGTTTTATTTATTGTTGAATATATTTTTCACACGAGGAAGTGTTTCAAAAATGTGTCTGGTTTGAATCAATGTTTATGAATCTTTTTTGATAAGATCTGTAAAGACTTTCAGGTTGTGTACACCCTCAGTTTGATTATTAATAAAATATGTTGAATTATTGTTTCCATTAGCAATGGCTTGTAATTCATCGAATCTTCGTCGGGCTAATAAATACTGAACAGCTAAATAATGATCATTATTTAATTCTTTGGTAATTGCTTGTAATTGTTGTGTAAGAGCTAATGTTTCTTGTTCAATCATATATCTGTTTCCTTGAGCTTGTTTTTGTGCTGTGACTAAATTCGCCTCTGCTAAATTTTTCGTTGCAATTAGGTTTCCTTCACTATTAAGGATTGTTGATTGTTTTTCCCCTTCACTAACATTGACTTTTGCTCGTGTATTTAATTCTTGTTGTCGTCGATCACGTTCAGCATCCATTTGTTTTTCTAATGTTTTTGCTACAGCTGCATCTAATGGACCAAATGATTGTATTTCGGCTTTTGTAGTTTGTACACCCCAGTGTTCAATAGAATTTCCAACGACTGCTAACCATTCTTTATTTATTTTATTTCGATCACCAATTATTTGATCATATTCAAATTGCCCAACAATAGAACGAAGTGATGATGTTCCAACAGAACGAATACCTGTACGATAATTCGCTACATCAAAACAAGCTTTATAAGCATTTTTAACTTGATAAAATAAAACAGCTGATAATTGAACGGGAACATTGTCTTTCGTATATGCATCAATTTTCTCAACTGTCAGACCATCTTCACGCATATCAATTTTTTGTACTCTATGCAGGATAGGTATTGATAAATACAGACCTGGTTTTAAATGCACTAAAAGAAATATTATACAACTTCTTTAATATCGTACTTTAATATCGAAGGAAAAGAGTTACCTGGATTTGTTCCAAATGTTGTTCGATATGCTTCGAAACCTTGATGAACAATCGTTAATAAAGAACGCTTTTGTTCATAACTACTATGATCAGTAGTCTTTAATAATTTAAATATCTTCTTCAACATTTTATATTGCTTTTATTGTTTCATTGATATAAACTATATTTATATTAAAAAAAATATGATAGGATGATACAAGAACACGCCATAAAGGAACGAGTAATAGCAAGGGGGAAAAAGCGGATCCTGGATCCTCGGATCCCATGGATCCTGTGGATTCTGCTGGATCCTGTGGATCCTATAGATCCTTATGAATCCTTTTTGATCCTATGGATCCTTTTGGATCCTTTGGACCCTTTTGAATTCTACTGGATCCTTTCGGATCCTGCTAGATCCTACTAGGACCTTATAAAAACTTTTAAACATTCTCAGGATCCTATTTATTAGTCAAGACCCTCATTAGTTACTCCAATTAGTTTCTAATGCCACACTGACTCGTACAGTATAAGCTCTTAACAACTTCTGCTATTATTTTTCACACTCCCAGGTGGAAAAAGGCGGGCTGGTTCCTGCAGGAAAGCATCGAAAATTGTCGGAAATGGAAGCAGTATTTCCATTGGAGATTTGCTGGACTTTTTTCAGTGGATTGCAGTCACAACCTTGTGCTTTCCAGCAGAAAACGGTTGGAATTCATCGGAAAAATTCGAAAACTTTCGGGTCGGATTACTGCTTCCAGTTTCGGCGATTTCCTGTCGGGTCTCAAGTTATAGAGATGCATCAATTCCAATTCCAGTCAATCCCAATTCCTGGAATTGGAATTGACCAGGATTGTTCTGGAACTAACAACATCTGGTCTGAAACTGCCTACGATTAGTTGTTAGTCACACCCATCGGTCCTTATCTCCTATTGTATGAAGGTATCTTTAGATACTCAAGTCCTGTTATATGGAAGTATCTTGAGATCCTCAAGAATATTGCAAAAAAGTAGCTTCAGATCCTTATCTCCTACCATATGGAAGTAGCATTAGGTCAGAAGAGGATGTAACCATCTTAAACTTCAATACCAATACTAAGTGGCATCAATGGCACTGAATAGTTACTTTGCACTAGAAAATCAAAATTGAAAATTTCAAAGAACTGATGATAGATTGGGATTTATCTAATCCGCAATACTTCTATTGTACTTTATAAAAAACCTTCATATTCGAAAAAGGCCCTTTCCCAGATGAAAAAACTCAAAAATCGAAAAATTTTGAGAGATTGATTTTCAATTCTTCATTTTTTCGTCAAGGAAAGGCTTTTTATCGAGTATAGGAGCTTTTTAAGGTTTGATGAAAGTCTTGAACGATCTAAGAGTCTCAATCTATCATCGGTTTTAGAAAATGTCAAGTGTGATCGTCCTTTGTACACTACCGATTCAATACCTATAATGCCATTTGGTACCAGTATTGCAAGTATTAGCATGGTTCCATCCCTCACCTGATTTAAGCTTAGCTTCATAGAACAGTTTGAGAATCTAAGGGCATCACTATATAGCAGGAGATGAGGACAAAACCGTGTGACTAAGAACGAATCGTAGTCAATTCTATGTCGGATTTTGTCAATTCCAGATCAGCTCTACTCAACACCAACCAATTTCAATTACAAATTCAGTGAAGTCCAACCAATCCTAAGCATTGGAATTGACTAAAATTGTAATTGGTGCATCTTCACACTAAATATCTGGTTTTTGATGATATTCACAGTTAAAAGAATCACAAAGGTTAATAAGTAATGTCACCGGATCAAATACGCCTCAATAGTTAGAAAAGGCAAGGTTTATTTTCCAGTCAGGCTTTGAAAAGGCTCGATAGATAAATTTTAGTATAATGTTTTTCTTTTTGGAACACAAATAGAGGTGTAAGCCGATAGATTGAACGACGGCGGCGCCAATTTTTTAAAATTTTTTGAAAATGCTCGGCGGCGCAGATTTGATATTCCCAAATTGCACAGCGGCGGCGGCTCGAAAATTTTAAAATTTCGAATATCATCGGCGGCGCGGCGGTTGTAATGAAAGATTCTCAGCGGCGGTGGCTTGAAGTTTAAAACGTACTACGCTATCATAGAAAAATTAGTCTATGGTCTTGCCTACACTAGGAAGAATGATGCAGTATTAAATTCGCATTAAATCAATTTGTGTCTACATTTGACAGTTAATCCATCAAACAGAATCCTAGACTTTGAAATGAATCGTGGTTTGTGTTCATTTCAATCGTAGAGAATTCTCCCATTGAAAACTGCGTCAGTCTCATTAGAAGATCGAATCAGACTTTGATTGATGCATTAACTTTAATGCAGTTCTAAAAAGTGGAATAAATTTAATGCACTTTTTAAACGAATGTTAGATGTTTATTAACTGTTCAACCAGTCATCTTTCTTAATTCAACATCAAATATTCTAGTGTAGATCTAGCCTATTTCAATATCCCATCGTTTTTATTTCCAAGCAAATGTGTAAGAAAACTTCATTTTACCTCTAGACATAATTGTAGGTAAGTTCCGATATCCCTAGTACGTTACATATTGGTAACCTTTCTGATAACTTTCCAGGATATATTCGTTAGTCTTTTCGCACTATACATCATATATGTATATCGTATATACATATGGATTCTTTCCTTCCTCTCATATATGTTGGCTGATTCCTTCTCTCTATTATATAGACCGGTATGGTTGAATGGTTAAGATGTTTGACACATATCCACACGATATCGTGTTCAAACCTCGGCTCCATCAGTCATAGAATGACCTTGGACAAGTCACTAACGGTTAATTTGTCTCGGACCACCCGTCCGATAACAAACTGACTACATGGTTGACATACACTGATAGTCATTGCGACTAGTATGTGGTTAGTCAGGGTGTTGGGGAGCTTAATCAAGCGGGAAGAACTTTGCGTCAGGCTGGCCGCCTGACTAGAGCTACACCCAGCAATAGATGTAGGAAAAACATCGGGCTTATCGAAACTGTCCTTGGACAACACTCCACACTGCAAGGTAGCTGAAAGGCAGGGGTATTCTTCTTCTTCTCTCTATTATATATATGTGTGCTCGTACTCTTCTCTTCGCTTCTTCGCTACTTCTTTTTTTCTTGTTGTTGTCACACCTTGTTGTTTCACAATAAACTAGAACTCACACAAGCACGAACAATAATAAAAAAAAATAAATCATGAAAAATAAATATAATTAAGAGGATAAATAATAAATGAAAAATCACAACCACCATCGCTAATAAGTAAAAGCACGTAGCGTACACAAGTTTGTTGTTTTATTTTGTCTTTGTTAATCAAAATTTAAAATGCTCGTCTCTTCTTGTATTTATAAATATATTTAATATCCCAGACATAAACAATTGAAATAGTAACTTACAATTTTCACCCAACATAGAATTAAGGGTTCGTTTACAATTTAGAACTCCAAAGCATCAGATTGGTCACAGAATTAGCATGAAAGTGAAGGTAAAGGCGAGAAAGTTAACGAAAAAGAGATATATTGGAGTTTCATGATGTAAGAGTATCGAGTTAAGGAGAATATAAATAAAACGTTATTAATATTTATGATAGTTGCCAGCGGCGGCTCGAAAATTTTAAAATTTCGAATACCATCAACGGCGCGGCGGCTGTAATGAAAGTGTCTCAGCGGCGATGGCTTAAATGTTTTTAAAATTTCTATTGTCACGGCGGCGGCGGCTTAAAATTTTTCGAGTTCATCGGCGGCGACGACGGCTCAGCCGCACGGCTTACACCTCTAAACACAAACAGTTACCTATCCCAGTCTTTCATGAATCGATGCACGCACAATTAGACTATTTGTTCATTATGTTTGGATCGACAAAGCGTATTATTCTCATTTTAGATTCAGTTCATATTCAAAACTCATGCTGTATTCAATACGTGAGAAGAACTGAAGAATTTTAGCGACATTTCAAAAAGAGAGAGCAAAGTCCTGACTAAATATTAGTAAAATCTTAGCTCTTTAACTCATATCATTTTCAGGTTACGCAAATAGTATCCTCGCCTATTCGTCTCTAAAATGAACATCAGTTATTCTGAAACTTATTAACAACAAACGTCATTTCATACAGAAGCAAAGGACTGCAACCCTATTGAGTGTTCATAAAATTTGTTTATGATCTAATAGAATTTCATCAGTCAAAATGACCGATAAACAGCAATCATAAATTTAGTCCTCACTTTCTTTTCTAACTTACCATTAAGTGCTATATTCGAACGAAACCTATGAAATTCGCGTGGGCAAAAGTTTTTAAGAATCGCTACAAACCAGGATCTGTTGAAGGCGTTATCGAATATCTTTAATTTATTATGAAGAAATCATTAATTTTCTGATTTTACACTGACATTGTATTGTATTCCTATAAATCCTATCGGATCCTTTTGAATCCTACCGAATCCTGTCGGATTCTTTTGGATCCTAGGATCCGAAAGGATCCGCTTTTCCCCCCTTGAGTAATAGTGACGTTTGCATTCTTTCATTATCTTATCTGTTCCTCATTTAGTATGTAAGAAGTGCAGGTAATGTGAAAATGTGATGAAATATCTTCTTACTTTTTCTTCACAGAAAGATTTTTTCTCCGCATTCAAAAATCGAAGTAAAGGTGTACAGTTGTAAAACATTCATACAATTCGTGCAGGAATCAACTGATCATTAAAAGAGAAACGAAAGAGATTTTTTCATAAAGTGATGTCAAAAAACCGTGTGCAGGAAAAAGTATGATGGTCTAACAATAACATATTTGAAAAACTGTTAGGTGATTTTATATCAAAGATTCTTTGTTGAAGAATCTATATAAACCTAATTTAAGTCGCAAAATAGTAAGGGGCATCTATAAAGGACGTTCACACAAAAATTACATATTTTGACATTCCATCCGCAAACGTCCAGTTTGCAAAAGTTTTTTTGAAAGAGCCTATTTGCCAAAAAATACTGGTAGTGTGGATGTGAGT